TTCCAGCGTCCCACGTAGAGGTGCTTTCTAAGTTGGAGAAGTTGAGGAGGTTCAGTTCGCATTCTTGACACCCCGACCACTGGAGGACCGCGTTGCTTACCGGGGACGCCGTAACATGGGTAACGAAGCTTGCAGAAGACATAATAATGAAGGTACTTTGGAGTTTGGTACGAGAAACGTCCCAAGCGTCACACGGCGTCTTTTATTCTGGGGGCGCACCTCTAGCCTTTGCACAACTAAGCGCGAAATGCAAGTCAGCAGGAAGTAAACCCTCGGCTCGGAAGTGAGGGGGTCAATGATTTAGTTTCGAAAGGCCAGTCACATCGACCTTTGTCACGACACCGTTATTGGGCTTATGTGGCTTTTAAACAGGAGCCAGGTGACCAGCCTGAAACCCATCACACTCTGGTAGTGCCGCCGCTGTTTGTTCGCGACTGCTTATTTGTTGCGGTATACCAGAACTTATTCACAGCTAACCTTCGGTGAAGGTATCCCCCTATCCACAACCCGGGGACGCGCCTGGTAGCATGCAGCTCTGCGTAACCCGAGGGAGCTTAAACAGAGTATTAAGGCCCAGTAAGAAAGTATTCCAACTGCCATTCTGAAAGTTAAAAAAACTATCTTCACCGGAATTAGCGATGCAAGCAGCAGAATGGAAACATACGGAACAAATTTTATAATAGGAATATAATTTGTTCCTTAATATTTGTTCTTTCTTTCTTTCGGAATTGTCCGACGTAGTTGGCAAGGTCGTTCAACGCGAAAACAACCAGTTGGTAAAAAATCAAGAAGGGTTTTGCGTGGGCCTACATTAGAGGATATTGTTGTCCGTTATTAAGACAAGTTCAAAGTTTTATTATGATTATGTTTACCGAACCCGTTTCGAAAAATAGTGCGTGTATCTTAGACGATTCAAGCGTTGGCCCAGTGTCATAATCGCTTAAGCATTTTCCATTCTTAATTTCCCACATGGCGCACCGCTCCACCACTGATCCTCTTGGGGTGATTATCTACCAACACTTAGGCAGCATCGGATTCAGAACCCATCTTCCTCCTGTGCCTGCCCGAAAATCACACGACCGATCGGTCGAATGGTTCAGGCGCAACAAGGGACCTGGTGCTTGCTCAGCTAACCCGAGCGAGAAACCACACCTTTATTACAGCTGTGAGTCTCAGGCAGGTCCAGTGAACTTCGACTGTGTAGCAGGAGTGCCATCCGTATTCGGATGGACTGGACGTAACACCAAGAGCATTACAAAACGTACGAGTACAAGCCGGTAATCAGACAGTCTCGTGTTGGGGTGAGAGAGTTTAAGCGCCGCAGATCGCCGAATACGATCCAATCAGATCACAGAAAGGGTCAGACGGAATTTACTTGTTTAGGTCACAGGTGAGGGCTGAGACAATGGTAAACGATGGAGCAATCGCACTGTACATACATATATATATATATATACTCGTGGATTTGATAAATGAGGTTTATCACAAACTGCATTTGGAGGGGTTGAGCTTTATGTGTCCGTTATCTCAACGTTTCATTTGATCAAATTATCCAGTCGACAACGAATAGTCATCGTGTGTGGTACAGTATTGCGAGAATAAATAAATCACTACAGCACAGGCAGTTACGGTCGTCTGACGAAGAACGATCATCTGAATTCTCAAGAAAAAGTATAAATCCTTTTAAATTTGCGGTAAAAACACACGTTTGCTTTACAGATACAATGAATAGTGATTACCTGGAAGTCCCAAATGCGACGATCGAATTGTTTGCGGTCCCGAA